ACACATTTCATATTACTGCAGTTAGTTATCATCTTTCCCATCAATCATTTTCTAGTCAGCTCTATATATTTGGAACTTTTTAACTGTTCCTCATAAATAACTTCTATTAGTCCTTAAATCACAAGTATATTTCTCCTCTGGAATCATCATGCATAAGGTAATACTAAAAATGGCATCGAGTATGTTGCCTTTTGAATCCATCTTTCCCAGATGTAGGGGATATCTTGCAATTGTGTTAGCTAAAGATTAAGGGTGGAGACTCCTTTTAGCTTCTCATTTATCTAATGTCCATGCTACTCTACCACCAATCCTGCACCAGATTTTCAACTGTATGACTGGAAGGATAATAATAGAGTAGATACAACATTTCCATACATGAGAAATATCACTTAGAGCATGTCAAACATAAATCAATCAAATATTTTTTTGAAATGATACAAATTATAGGGTTAATGATTTTGACATTAAGGTCTAATTTTCTTTTCTGGGAAAAAAAAAAAAAAGTGAATTTTAAATGATGATGTGATGACATAAGATAAGCATTGGACCGCAAGGTCCATTTGAAGTGCAAGGTTGGCAGTTCAAATTCACCAGCTGATCCTTGGACACCATGTATGTGGTAACTATGAGTCAGAGCCTACTTCAAGGCACTTAACAACAACAAATGATACTTATAATATTCTTCTCCAACACCATAACTCAAATGCATCAATTCTTCTAAGGTCTTCCTTATTCATTGTCCAGCTTTCACATGCAAATGATGTTATTGAAAATACAATAGCTTGGATTAAGCACTCCTTAGTCCTCACATCAGAGTCCTGGTGTGGTGCTATGGGTTAATGTCAAAGAATGCAAAGCTGTTTGAACTGCAAGGTCTGGGATTCAAGCTCACTAGCTGGTCATCTATAATGCTATACAGGGTCACTATGGGGTCAGAACAAACTGGACAGCACTTCACAACAACATCAAGTCCTCAAATTAAAATCTTTAGTCTTGAATATTTTAAAGAAGTTTTGTGCAGCAGATATGACTAAAGCAATATGTCCTTTGATTTCTTGACTGCTGCTATCTTGAGTGTGGAGTGTGGATCCAAGCAAAATGAAGTCTTTGACAATTTCAATCTTTTCTCCATTTATCTTGATGTCACTTACTGGTTCAATTGTGAGGATTTTTGTTTTCTTTACATTGAGGTACAACCCATACCTAAGGCTGTGGGTCTTTGATCTTCATTAGTATGTATGTTACATCTTCTTTGCTTTTAGCAAGCATGGTAGTATAATTTGTATACCACAAGTTTTTAAATGAGTTTTGCTCCAATCCGGATGCCATGTTCTTCTTCATATAATCCAGCTTCCCTGATTATTTGATCAGTACACATAATGAACAAGTATGGTGAAAGAACTGAACAATGGCACACAAAATTTCTGATTTGAAACCATTCAGTGTCCCCTTGTTCTATCTGAATGACTGCCTGTTGTTCTATATACAGGTTCCTCAGGAGAACAATGAAGTCTTCTGGAATACCCATTATTCACAATATTATCCGTAGCTTGTCCTGATCCACACATTCCATAGCCTCTGCATAGTCAATAAAGCACAGGTAAGCATTCCTTGCTTTCAGCTAAGTCCCATCTGAAGTCAACAATGATATTCCTCATTCCAAGTCCTCAACTGAATCCAGCTTATACCTCTGGTAGTTCCCTGTTGATGTACTGGTACAGTGATTTTTAAATTATCTTTAGTGAAATTTTACTCGCATGTGATATTAATGATATCATCAGATGATTTTCACATTCTGTTAAGTGTCACCTCTCTTAAGATTGAGATCTCTTCCAAACATTTCGCCAGGTAGCTGTCTTCCAAATTTCTTGGCAGAGATGTGTGAGTATTTCTAGTGCTGCACCAATTTCAATTTGTATTCCCTCAATTCCTAGAACTTTGTTTTTGCCAATGCATTCAGTGCACTTGGACTTCTTCCTTCAGTTCCATTGGCTCTTGATCATATGCTAGCTCTTGAAATGTTTGAACATCATTTCAAACTGACTTTGTAGTCCAGTGCATTATCCCACAGCACCATACAAAGACTGTATATTTACATATAGATGTTGATATATGGTAATCATGCATATATTTATAATGTCAGCTGTTCAAACTACCAGTCCGTCCTCAGAAACCCTATACAGGGTCACTATGAGTCAAAACCGACTCAACAGCACTTAACAACAAAAGCGTACATAGATGCTATGATACAATATACTTGTATATTGTTGTTGCTAGGTGCCATTGAGTTATTTACTGCTCATAGTGACCATGTAGAGAGGTCCTGAGGCTGTAAATCTTTAGAGGAACAAATACCCTTAAGTTTTCCCTACAGAGAGATTGGTAGATTTGAACTTCTGATATTATGGTTAGCAGTCTAGTGTCTAGTGCTTATCCTCTTGTTTTTGCTAAGTTCTTTCAAGTTGGTTATGACTCATTGTGACCCTTCACAGTGTTTCCCTGAAGCAGTTGGTGAGTTTGAACTACTGACCTTGCAACTAGCAGTCCAGTGCTTATCCTACAGCAACACATGAGGGCTGCTTATCCTACATATGCCCTTGTTGCTGTTAAGTGCCATTGAGTCGGTTCCTACTTGCAATGATCCTGTATAGGGTTTCCAAGGAGCGCTTAGTAAGTTTGAGCCGCAGATCTTGCAGATCAAACTGACTATGAGGTTAAGTGCTAATCCTATGGAACCATACCAGGACTTGACCCTACATATATGTTGTTGTTATTGTTGTTGTTGTTAAGTGTCGCTGAGTCAGTTCCACACCATAGCGACCCTGTATCGGGTTTCTGAGGAACGGCTGGTAGGCTTGAACCACCAATCTTGCTGTTCAAACCAACTTTGCAGTCCAGCATGCTAACCTACAGTGCCACATGTGTGCCTATCTTATGCATTAAAACTTAACCTCAGGCTGTGGATGTGAGCAGCTTAACTCACCATAATGCTTCATCAGATCTTTGTTCCAACTAGTGTACTAAAACAATACTGTGATGATATATCTGTTCAAAAGAGTCAACTTATATCCAAGGTAGCTGCAACGTAGCTATGGCTCCAAATTCATGTCTGCAGTCATGGTAAAAACAAAAGTTGCCCAATTGAGGTTGTTTGTCATGTTATAAAAAATAAAGATTGGGAAAAAAAAGAGTCCCCACTGAATACTTTTCATCTTGTCTGGATGGATCTGGTTAAAAGAGATGGGGATAAGATTCTTATGATTCAATAGTGAATAATTGTTATCATGACTAATTGCAACTGTCATAATTGTAAAGGTAGAAGTTTTGTAACAAAAACGGGAGAGTAGTTAATCTTACAGTCCAGAAACAGAGGACCCTAAGACCATCAAGGGAGAAGAGCACAAGCAGAATGTGAGACTTTATACAGAGAAGCAGTGATACCAGAGAAGGAGGCAGAGATGGGGACATGGAGAGTGGACTCTAGATTCACGGCAAGAGAGGGACTAAGAGATGGCAGCTAGGAGGCAGACTTGCAAAATGTGTCCTTTGGTGGTGTAAATTATTATATATGCCTGAGTGTTTAAAAAAAAAGAAAAAAGAGCTAAATTGAATAGAAAGAAATTGGTGGTACATGGAGAAAATTATAATCATTGTAATGAAAAAAAAAAAAGATGTATGATTTGTATTAATGTAAAACTCATGATCTGCCCTATACACTTTCACTCAGTCCACAATAAAAACCTTAAATAAAAAAAAAAATCAATTTCACTCAATTGAAACTTGAACTTCTAGCTGTAGACTTTAATAGAGCAGAATTTTTTTTCTGATTCTGGAACCTTGTAAGACTTAAAAACAGAATCTTGACTAAGGATTGTGAGAAAAGGAAAAGAACTTTGAATGTTCAGTTTTTATAAATTATTCATTGGAATGAAAAAAATAGCAGGTTTTATCTATTTTTTCTTACACAGAAAATCTTCTCAAGCATCTGCTCACATGAATTGCTGTTGTTTTTATGTGCCATGCAGTCATTTCCAACTCAGAGTGACCCTGTATGGAGTTTTCGAAGAGCAACAAATGAGCTTGACCCACTGATCTCATGGTTCCAAATGACCTTATGTTGTTGCTGTTGTTAGGTGCCATCAAGTCAGTACTGACTCATAGTGACCCTGTGCACAACAGAACAAAATACTTCCCTGTCCTGGGACAACCTCACAATCACTGCTGTGTTTGAACCCATTGATGCTGCCACTGTGCCAACCTATCTCTTTGGCAGTCTTCCATTTTTTTCTCCAGCCCTCCACTTTACCAAACATGATATCCTTCTCTAGGAACTGGTCCTTCCTGATAATACATCTGAAGGGTGAAAGACGAAGTCTGGCCATGCTGGCTTCCAAGGAGCACACTGGCTGCACTTCTTCCAAAACAGATCTATTGGTTCTTTTGGCAACCCATGGCACTTTCAATATTCTCCTCCAACACAATTCAAATCCATCAATTCTTCTATGGTCTTCCTTATTCACTGTCCAACTATCACATGCATATGAGATTACTGAACATACCATGGCACACCTTAGTTCTCAAGCTGACATCTTTGCTCCTGAACACTTTAAATAAGTTTTGTGCAGCAGATTTGTCCAATGCAATATGATGTTTGATTTCTTAACTGCTGCTTCAATAAGTGTTGATGGTTGAGTGCTTATCCACATCAGTATGTCTCACATGCATTAGCAATGGGTTATGAGAATTTGAAGTTCAAACTCACCAGCCACTCCTTGGAAACCCTATACAGGGTCACAGTGAGTTGGAACTGATTCGATGGCATTTAGCAATACTATGATTACATTGTGTTTTCCTCTAAATTAAAGTTTTAAAAAATAATTTATAACTTTCTTTATTCTTGTCTTAATTTGTTCAACGAAATGGATAAGTAATCGATTAAAATATAATGATTTTTTTTTACATACTGTGAAGTATGAAAATTAAAAAACAAAACACAGTACCTGATTCTAAAAATGTTTAATATCTAGTATAGACAGGAATATATTTGTCATAAACATAGATTCACACTGTTAAGAATTACTAGTGTAACCCTTGTTAATTGATTAATAAACTAGTATATTTGAAAGGAATATAGAATTGGTGTTTTTTACATTGAGAAATTAATGAAATAAATACTATGATATGAGATAAGGAAAATGAAACTGAAAGGAGATTTGTAACTATAATGTACCTGGAAATGTTTTATCACAAATAGAATAGATAAATTGAACTCTGGAAAGAAAAAAAAGAAAAGAAAATTTGGGAAAGAAAGGGCAAATTTGTTACCAAAAAAACCCCCCAAAAAACATGAATTGCAGTATATGTATGTGATGTGATAACCATGTGGTATTTTGTTCCTAGCATACTTCTAGGATATTTAACTAACATGAAATAAAAATAGGCACAAAATAATAATAGATTGATCTGAAAAATGTAATTAATATTGATGCAAATATATGAAGAAAAGTAGACAAGGCATGAAATCTAAAGAGGCCATTTGTTGTTGTTAAGTGTTGTTGAATCAGTTCTGAATCATAGCGACTCCGCATAGAGTGTACGAGGCTGTAAATCTTTACTGGAGCAGAAAGCCTCATGTTTCTCTTGTGGAACAGCTTGTAGTTTCAAGCTGCTGACCTTGAGGTTTGTAGCCCAACCCGTAACTACTATACTACCAGAGCTCCGTAAATAGTGTATAGTTGAACAAAAATAATAATTATTATTATTTTGAGCCAAACACAATGTAGAGAATCATTTTAATTCTTATTTTGTGTAATTTTCTTAATAATCCTGTTAAATAATTAAATAATAAAATGGAGGCTTCAAAGACTTGGGGCATTATAGATCCAACAGAATAATATGGTCAAAATTTACATTTCACCTGAAAAGAGTATATTTGTCCTAGCTTTCATTGCCTTAAGGGCCAAACCTAAGATATTTTTAACCTAAATTAGTAGTATGCAAATGCATTTGAATCAAACTTGAAATAGGAAATTGACATTAAAAATAATATTTACTGAAATTCAGGAAAGCAGAATAGGGACAAACCTATTTTAAAGATGATGAAGATTTGGAACAACTGCTGTAGAGAGTATAAATGATGGATATAGGAACCACAGAGGAGAAGATGAGCAAGATGGCTGAGAAACACATCCCTTGCTACAGTGTTTTTTATCAGAGGAAAGTGCATCAACTTGCATTCATCCTTATCATTCGACCCCTTTTCACCCAGTCAGGCTCCATTAAACAATGAATGGAAGTTATCAAAGTGTATTTACAATGGACCAGTGAATTCTACTCGGCACTTTTCTGATGAAGCAATGATATGGACAGGCATGTGCAGATGCTCCTGGAGCTGTGCTGACTCTGATCTCTGAGAAGATTAGCTGTTCTGCCTTGCTGGCTAGTGTGAGCTGTGTTAGAGATTCGAGAAGTAGCAGGTTTACTGGAGCAGTTTTATCCATTCCCTGCCATCTAAATCAGAACCTCTAAAAGGTTAAAATCCATCTTTGTATATAGCATAACTTTCAAACTGACAATTACTTACATCATAAAACAGCAATTAAGTGATTCAGATTCATAATCATAATCAGAAGGATCAAATGCTGGAGAAGTACAAATTTTGCTCACATTAAAAATATGTTCCGGAAAAAAATGATAGACTTTATTTAGTATCACTGATTGTAAAAGTTACTTTTATTGTGGCATCACTGCCATTTACATCATTACAATGATTATCATATTGAAAATCCATCCTATGTGTATGTGTATTTGTTCAAGTTTGTGAAGGTGATATAAAATGAAGATTCTTATAGATGTGAAGATAAAAACACATCGTCATTTTACCTTTATTTTTATGTTTTTGTTGTGTACTTTCAAGTCAGTTCCAAATCACAGGGACCCCATATATGGTTTACAAGTGTGGTGGATTTGAACTGTCGACTTTGAGGTTGCCAGTCCAGTGCTGATTTTACAGGGCCAAACCAGATCGCATCAAATTAATTGCACCCATGAAAAGTGGTAAGGTCTTTTCATTGTTCTTGATTCCAAAAGATGGAGTTGTCTTTAGGATTGTGTGTATTTTCAAACCATCTCTATATACCCTCCCCTCCTTTGGAGTCCTGGTATTGCACTGCAGGTTAATGTGCTGGACTGCAAAGCTGGTTTGAACCACAGGTATGCAGTTCAGGCTCACCAGCTGTTCCTCGGAAACCCTATACTGGGTCACTATGGTTTGGAACCAACTAGATGGCACTTCACAACAACAGCATACCCTAATTCGCTTTTTACAAAAAGGATGTCATTTCTTATAGCAAGAGAAGTGTGTTCAACCAGCAATATGCGAGTCTACCTCTAGCTAAATCATTGCAAACTTATCTACAATGAACCATTTTTCCTCCCGTACATTATGACTCAGTGAACAGGTTTACTAACTATCCTTGGAGATGTCCCTCGATCTGCAATCAAGATCCCATTAAGGGCTTTCAATGAAATTTTTTAAACTTACCTAATCTCTGTCCACCACTCATCTGTCAGTTTGTCATACTGTGGTGGCATGCAAGTTGCTGTAATTCTGGAAGCTATGCCTCCCCTATTATAAATACTAACAGGGTCACCCAGGATAAACTGTTTTCAGCTGAGATATGCAGACTAAGGCAGACTAGGAAAAAGGAGAGACAGACTACTTCTAAATATTAAGTCCCTGAAAATCTTACAAATAGCAGTGAATTACAATCAGCACCAGAATACTAAATACTGAAACATGATGAGTAGCCCCAGAACATTGCCAAATATTATGCTGAAAGATGAACCCCTCAGGTTAGAAGTACACAAAATACAACTGGGGAAGAGCTGCCACCTCAAAGTAGAGTTGATCTTGATGATGTAAGTGGAGTAAACATTTGGGACTTTCATTTTGTTATGAGAAACAAATCGAAATGAGAAGAAACAACTGTAGACATCATTATATTTAGAACATGGAATGTATGAAGTATAAATCTAGGAAAATTGGAAGTTGTCAAAAATGAAATTGAAAATATAAACATCGATACACCAAGCATTAGCGAGCTGCAATGGACTGGTATTGGCCATTTGGATTTGATAATCACATGGTTTTCTATGTCAGGAATGGCAAATTGAAGAGGAATGGCATCACATTCATCATAAAAAGAACATATAAAACTCTGTCTTGAAGGACAACACTGTCTGTGTGATAGGATAATATCCATATGCCTACAAGGAAGACCAGTAAATACCATTAATATTCAAATGTACCCCCAGCCACTAAAGCCAGTGATGATGCAAATGAAGAATTCTACCAGTTCATTCAGTCTTAAATGATTAAGTGTAAAATCAGTATGAATTGATCATTATTGGCTATTGGAATGCAAAGTTTGGAAACAAAAGAGGAAAGTTTAGTAATTGCAAAATATGACCTTTCTTACAGAAACAATGTTAGATATCACATGACAGAATTTTACAAGGTCAATGACTTAATTGTAAAAAACTTTTTTTAAAACAACATAAAAGACAGCTATACACATGGACCTCATCAGAAGGAATACAAAGAAATAAAATTAAATACAGCTGCCAAAAAGATGGTGGAGACTTAATGGCAGAGTAGGGAGAAGTCCAGTGCAAACCTCCACCAGCAATAACACAGAATACCAGATGAAACAGGTTCAGGGGACAGTCCCAGGAATCTGAACTGTATACAAAGGAATATTTAGAAAGTTTGAGAGCTTCCAGCTGGTGGAATTTATAGCAGAAGCAAGAAAACAGGTGTTTTCTGATTGAGCAGCCCCAGCAGCTCCTGGATTGGCCATCTTGGGTGAGACAGAGCTGGGGAAGAATCAGAGTAGTGCTCCTACCACGGACGTCTGACCCATCCTTGGAGATAAAAATGTGGACATTCTTCTTTTTTTTTCTCAGTTCATTGATCTCTTGCTGTCTGCACACCTCCATGCTGGAGACTAGAGAGTGTGCCTGAGCGAGTGGACACCCAACTCACCCCCCAGAGGGTTCTACTATGCACACAGATCTGCTCAGCAGTACCTAAGGGGAAAGGTTCCACTTAACACCAAATGGCAGCACAAAAGAGATACAACCGGCCCTGATTTGTTAATCAGTACGAAAAAGGTCTGACAGGGTTTGTGGAGTGGGAAAGAGACAGATTAAAGAGAAAACAGGCCAAAAATTAAATCCTGAGTTACATCACAAGGACCAAGAGTGACATATTGAAATTTCTCAAGTGGCCTTGAAGGCAAGAAGCCAAGAGAGGGACATTAAAGTCATACTCATATTTTGCTACATATATATATTTTTTTCTTTTCTCTTTTCTGCGATTAAAGACTATAGTATTCAATCTCCTTGTTTTTTTCTTTTTTTCTGTTGTTGTTTTATTATTTGATTCCCTTTTTGCTTTTAGGGGGCTCTTTCTCTCCCTATATTACCCAAGAAGAGACAGCAATTGCAGTCATATTGTCAAGCTATAATCACACTCTATAAAATCCCACCAACCAAGCAAAAGCCAATAAAAAAAAAATGAAACCAAAGAAACAAAGGACCTATACAAAGAAAACTACAGAACACTACTACAAGAAACCAAAAGAGACTTGAAAAAATGGAAGAATATATCATACTCCTGGATAGAAAGACTTAACATTGTGAAAATGTCAATACTACCCAAAGCAGTCTACACGTATTACACAATCCCATACCAGATTACAATGACAGTCTTTAGAGAGAAGGAAACAAAAAACAAAAAACACAATTATAAACATTATATGGAAAGGAAAGATACCCAAGATAAGCAAAGCACTGCTTAAGAATAAGAATAAAGTTGGAAGCCTCTCACTTCCTGATTTCAAAATTTACTACATAGCTACAGTTGTCAAAGCAGTTTGGTACTGGTACAATGAAAGATACATAGATCAATGGAATAAAATCAAGAATCCAAAAATTAACCCATCCATATACAGTCGACTG